TATCTTTCTATCTATCTATCTATCTATCTATCTATCTATCTATCTATCTATCTCTCTATATCTCTATATATCTCATATCTCTGTCATACCTCTCACATCATTAATGATACATTGAAAAATAAATGTTCATTTAGGTTAACGAGTAAGGAGAAGCTGTGTTCACTTCAATCATCCAGTCGTGTGACAGAAAAAAATCCTTTTTTTTCCCCCTTGGGTTGGGTACTTGATTGGGTACTCAAACTGAACACAAATTTACCTTCTTTACTCTATCCTTCCCATATCTATCTATCTATCTATCTATCTATCTATCTATCTATCTATCTATCTATTCATTTATCTATATATCTAGCTATCTATCTATCTATCTATCTATCTATCTATCTATCTACCTACCTACCTATCTGTAAATCTATGTATCTATTTATCTATCCTCTTCATATATATAGGAAGTATAGATAGATTAAATTTTACATACAGTATAAAAGATAGATAGATAGATAGATAGATAGATAGATAGATAGACAGGCAAATAGAGAGAGAAAGAGAGATAGATAGATAGATATAGATAGATAGATAGATAGATAGATAGATAGATAGATAGATATGGGAAGGATAGATAGATAGATAGATAGATAGATAGATAGATAGATAGATATGGGAAGGATAGATAGATAGATAGATAGATAGATAGATAGATAGATAGATAGATAGATATGGGAAGGATAGATAGATATGGGAAGGATAGATAGATAAATAGATAGATAGATAGATAGATAGATAGATAGATAGATAGATAGATAGATAGATATAGATAGATATAGATAGATTGACAGATAGGTAGATAGGTAGATAGATAGATAGATAGATAGATAGATAGATAGATAGATAGATAGATTGACAGATAGATAGATAGATAGATAGATAGATAGATAGGTAGATAGTTAGATGTCTATGTATGTATGTATCTATCTATCTATCCTCCCCCTATCTGTTTGTCTATTTATCTATCTATTCATCTATGTATCCTCTAGCTATCTACCTATCTATCAGTCCTCCCCATATCTATCTATCTATCTATCTATCTATCTATCTATCTATCTATTATCTATCTATCTATCTATCTATCTATCTATCATCTTACTTTCCATTCCATATTAATAGTCAATAGAAGCACACACACCCATTTATTCTTTCAATTTTCATTCTATACATGGCAATCATTTTTCTTTTGTAAACCCTCAATATGTAACATGTATACATGGCCTGAGGACTCCAATCTACCTATCAGCATATTAGATCTTCTAATACAGAGAGTTGGGTAGGTGAGATTTCCCTGGGGTGAGATGTGGGCACTCAGCAAGACACCAGTCACAATTCATTCCTGCCTTGTTCCAGGCGGGATTTATAGACCGTCCACATAGAAGCATATGTTAATGTATGGCTGTCTGCTCGTGTATACTGTGCAGTGACTGAGCTGGTGTGTTTATCATTAAAGCCCATCGCTGCTGATAAGCTGCAGGAATGCTGCCTGGCCAGCTGACAGCTATGGCCACATTCTTTGTTGTTAAACACAGTTTTACTTTTAATCCTCTCCTATAATGTATCTAGTGCTTTCACCCAACGCAGAGATCGTATAGCATTCCGCCTTCCCTCCCGTCATCCAAGAAAACATACTGCTGGGTAAACTGGCTTCCTCCCAAATTGGCCCTAGCATGTGCGTACATATACGTATGATGGCGGCAGGGACTTTAGATTGCAAGCTCCTTCGCTGTCATGGCAAATAGCTTCATGTTTACTATACAAACTGCATATAATACCTACAATATACTTTTTGTCATGCAATAACATGTCATATAAACTAAACATGAACTGAAAAAAAAAATAACTTCTTTGGTTTCTGTTCATAACTTCAGATATTCGGCGTGTGTTATTTTTGAAGCCTTAATATTTTCTTAAAGTCAGACAAAATATTGCTTTTTTTTTTACTATTGTCATTGTTACCAAAAGTCAGTCAATAAAGGATAAGTCAATGAGAACCACAAAACTGGCAATACTCTAATAAACCTTAAAATAAAAAATAAATAAAAAAAATAAAAAAATAAATAAACACAAGATAGACTATTACATATAAAAAAAAAAAAACGTTAAAAAAATAGTATATTCTTATCATAATATAGTATGCACAAAAATGTATATATAGTACACATATAAACATATGCATAGTATATTATCAAAACATGCTGTGCCTTACTGTAACAGAAAATAATTAAAAACCCATCGAAATTACTTTAATAGAGTATTTTATTATTTACTGTGTTACCACTGTCTTTGGTCTATAGATGCCTAAATTTACAAAATAATTAAATAATAATTATCGACAACAGTGATTTTAAAGAATAATTAAGGACAGCAGTGATTTAAAAAAAAAAATACTTTAAATTTCTACCACAATATTGGAATTATGTCATTCATTTCCTATTTAATGTGTAATTTCAAAAAAATACTGTGTAGGTCTTTCAAATATAAAAAGAAAGATAGCATTAACAAATGTACTACTTAAAAAATATAACAAAAGTGGTATTTAATGTAGTATTTAAAAAAAATATGTAGTACTTTAAAAGTCTAAAAAGAAATGCAGTACTTAAAAATACAAAAAAAAATAATATGTAGTACTTCAAATATCCTTATGTGTTTTATTTCTCTTGCTTGCATTTTGCAATTTTAATTTTTATATTATTATTTTTTTTGCCTCAATATAGAGAATTTAGAGCAAATATCAATTTGTCTGCCCTGCATTGTTTTTTTTTTAATTTTCCTTTTTATTTTTATAGTTTTTTAAATATAGCTGTAAATATGTTGTACATGTTTTTATTAAAAACATTTCTATAAAAAAAAAAAAAATATGTATATATAGCTTTTTTTTTAGGAGTTACTGTCTACAAGTGTTTGCAGGAATTATCTAATATTATACAGAATGTCATTAGTTTTGTGTAATAGTCCTGATTGTTACTGCAATAATATTCTATGTTCTTTTTAATTATTCCCACATTAGATTAATCTAAAAAAAAGATAGCTAGCTGAGCACTAAAAATATTACAACACATAAAAAGATTTCATAATTAGCATTCTAATCATTTAGACTAGGAGCAATATTATTATAAACGAGGCACCATTAACCTTGTGACACGTGGAAGTGAACTACTTTTTATGTAATCTGTTATATATGTTTCTAGACGCGTTGCCACCCATAAGGAAACTTTAATGGCAGAATTATCTGATTACTGAAGTGTCTGGTTTTCTGCAAAGTTTTCTGTAAACAGTTTACAGATCCTTGAAATTGGCCCAGAACCCAATGAAGATCGTGTAACATTTATTTAAGATTTACATTTTTTTGAAACAATGTGAGTTCCCTGGAAGAGCATCTGAGCTTGAAGAAAATATCTAAAGGGGGGAAAACATTTTTTTGAAGCATTGTGAGTTCCCTGAAAAAGGATTTGAGGTTGAAGGAAATATCTATAGGGGTCAGTTTTTTGAACCAATGTGAGTTCCCTTGAAAAAGAGATGAAGTTTAAGAAAATATCTAAAAGAGTTAATTTTTTTGAAGCAATGTGGGTTCCCTGGAAAAGGATCTGAGGCTGAAGGAAATATCTAAAGGAGTTAATTTTTTTTGAAGCAATGTGAGTTCCCTGAAAAAGGATCTGAGGCTGAAGGAAATATCTAAAGGGGTCAGTTTTTTGAACCAATGTGATTTCCCTGGAAAAAGATCTGAGGCTGAAGGAAATATCTAAAGGGGTCAGTTTTTTGAATCAATGTGAGTTCCCTGGAAAAAGATCTGAAGTTGAAGAAAATATCTAAAGGAGTTGATTTTTTTTTGAACCAATGTGAGTTCCCTGGAAAAAGATCTGAAGTTGAAGAAAATATCTATAGGAGTGATTTTTTTTGAAGGAATGTGAGTTCCCTGGAAAAGGATCTGAGGCTGAGGGAAATATCTAAAGGGGTCAGTTTTTTGAACCAATGTGAGTTCCCTTGAAAAAGATCTGACGTTGAAGAAAATATCTAAAGGAGTTGATTTTTTTGAACCAATGTGAGTTCCCTGGAAAAGGATCTGAGGCTGAAGGAAATATCTAAAGGGGTCAGTTTTTTGAACCAATGTGAGTTCCCTGAAAAAAGATCTGAGGTTGAAGAAAATATCTAAAGGAGTTGATTCTTTTTTAACCAATGTGAGTTCCCTGTAAAAGGATCTGCGGTTTAAAAAAATATCTAAAGGGGTCGATATTTTGAACCAATGTGAGTTCCCTGGAAAAAGATTGAAGAAAATATGTAATGTGGTCAACATTTTAGAATTATTTGCTAAAAAGCTTGGGCTAAAAAGGCAAAAAATCCGGAACATGGGTTGACAAAACAAAATGGTTGTCACAGTTAGGCATTCGAAGTTTACATAGACGCAAACTGGCATTTGCCTAAGGTGGCAAGGTTCAAGGGGCAGCACAATTTTATCCATTTATAAGTGTACCATACTGGCAAACCTGGACGTGCCTACAGCCAATAAATTCAAGCGGGAGACAACGTTTTTTTTTTTTTTTTAATTCTGAATTTTCCAATGAAACACATGCTTAGAAACCCAATATGTTATCCGCGTTTTAAAGGGCGCCTTAGCCAGGCCAATAAAATTGCTCAGTATCATTTTGGATTATCAAGTGAACTTTGGGAACACCCACCTACTAAATTACGCAACTCCCAATGCCTAAGGTCACGCCAAACTTAAAAGACAAAGTTCTGTTAACACGTTTGTAAGAACATTGTTGGCGACGTCGAAAAATAACTTCATGCTGCAATGTTAAGGATGGATCTCTGCAATCCCACCAAGTTGCCGTTTTCAAACTGGATCATGAAATATTAATTACCATTTTTAAACCCAAAGAAATATAACATGAAAAGAGTGAAAAACAAATGGAAAATTAAAAAAACATAAAAACAAAAAAGACAAATGTTTTCAGGGA